GAAAAATCTAGCACCCAGGAAATGTGCCTAAATTAGTGATTTTGCATGATGTACCCCTCAACGTCCCGTCCCCCCCCAAAAAAACCCAAACAAACCTCCAAACCAAAACAAAAGATAATTTTGTTCTTCATTTCATTTCAAAGATCTATTAGAGAAGCCCCACAGGATCCTGAATATTCCCTCTTGTAGCATTTTGTAAGTAAAAATTCTAAGAGATTGGGGTCTAATAGAACATTTTGGATGCTTTGATGCGTCTCAAAGAGAACAAGGTGGGTTTTAACAAAAGTTGTAAGGTATACTACCTAACTGAAACTGGAGAGATTGAACAGGGAAAAAATGGAAAAATTGCATATTATTTATCAGTCTGGTTTTAACGTAAGTACCCTGGGGATAGGGTTGTTCCACCCTCAGAATGTAAAAGGTTTCAGTATATTCCAAAGAGCAGATGCATGACAAATATATCATTGCAGGAAAAGGAAATATTTCCTTAAACATCCTGCTGCAAACGTGACTGATTGAGTTTCCCCTTCCCTCTTCTTAGTGCATTTCCCTTCCTTGCACAGACAGGATCTAACTAGATTTGCAGGGTATGAACTGTAGGTTATGTTCAAATTCATGAAATGGTTCATTTAGCAGGACAAAGGCCAAACTGGCAGACACCTTTTCTCCAGCCCAGCATTAATGGGAGGGTGGCAATGAGCTTTTGTTAATCCCAACAGAGCTGGCGAGAATGCCACAAAATGAAGTCTTTGAAGATGTTGCCTTAATTTTTAAAACAACAACTGTGCCAAACAAGAGGGAGAGTCTTGGAAAAAGTTAATAGATCTCCCTGAGAAGGCTATAACCTGGGCAAGGTTCCTACTAGACATTTTCTATTAGAATGTGCAATTCCTATTAGAGGAAACTCCAATTAAAAAGTACAATTTGGTGAAACGTTAATTTTTTTCATAGGGTTATGAGAGTGGCATTTGAGAAAATGTTCCTTTTCCAGCAGTCCCATTTTGTAGAAGCCATAAGGATATCATGTCACACTGGGCCTGATTTAAAACCCACTGCAGTCAATGAGCGTCTTTTTACTGAATGTGGACTGGCAGTGATTAAAATGTATTTTTTCCCATGGTTAGCAGTCTACATGATGGTCACTTCATTTCCCAATGTTCTTGTCATAAAACCTACCAACACTACTGGCACTCTGATCTGCAGCCCTGGGAGGGAGTCTAAGTGCTGACTAGTCCATAGACAGCAAACTAGCCAGTTCCCAGTAGAAGTGATCCATCTGTCTCAGCTGCAAATGGGCAGCGCAAAAGAATCTTGCTTGGAAAGTGTGTATGTCAATGATTCTCAACCTTTTTGGACTCAAGGCACCCCCGCTGGACTTGAGGCACCCCTACATACCTTTTGTCAATTGAGTGGCACCCAATTTCAAGAATTAATTTATATCTTACTGTGCTTACTTCCTTGCAGAGGGGCCAAGCAGTAGGGATGGAGGATCTCCTTACATATCCCCACACCCTTCAAAGGGTTGGGCATCACCCTGGTTAAGAATCACTGTGTCATCCATCTCCTTTACTTGAGGTCAAACAGGTCAAAACTACTAAGTCTGATTTCTCCATTCTGGATCCCCAGTAAAAAAACAAGTGACTTAGCTTTTAAGTATGGAAGTTGGAGGTATTTAAGCTGTGGCACATTCAGGCCCAAATGTCACTTTGACGAAAGCAGGTTTTTCGTAACATCTTTCCTTATTTGGAAACACTTGTTTAACTTCTTTATTTTTTACCCAGGGTTCTGTCCCAAATCCAACCTCAGTGATGTCATTGCTTGTATCCTCCCAGGTTATTTTTATGAAGTATGACAAGAGAGAAGACTACGGAAGGATGAGATTAAGGATAAATAAACTTTTGAGAAAAAATGGGTCAGATTTTCTATTTGTGTGAAAGGGCACGGCTCTAGTGACTTCAGTGGAGCTTTGGCCTACTTTGGCAGAGAATGTAGCTCATTATAGGCAGGATGATACTATTTTTACTGATAGATACACACAGAGGAAACACTGTCTGGATACAGTAACTTTCTGGTTTGCTTCCCAGCTGATCCAGTCTTATATGGGTGTAAAGGTATCCATCAAGCAGTTCAAAATGTAAATACCAGCTCAATTTAAAAAATATCCCCTGGCTAAAGCTCAAACCTTGACATGTTTGTTTAGTTCCCAATCTGGCAAATACTTTCACACGTGTATAATTTTATCTTCATTGACTAATGGAGACAAATCACACAAGTAAAGTTACATACAGATGTGTTTGTAGAAGAGTAGCTTTATTTGTTACCTGGGCAAAATTCTCAGTTCATTCAATGGGGCTGAGTCGAAGAAAAAACTAAATAAAGATTGCAGGATTTTGTTTAATATCTGTTGACTGCTTTCCTTATTTCCAGTGGCTAGATTAGTTTGAGTGACAGTGCAGTGTAGGGGATAATTGTAGAAACAGAAGGTGGTAGATGTATCCTTATTGATTTTTATGTAGTCAGCATGGAGGTTAATTTGTCTTATATCCTTGCCTGAAGAAATGTATGACTGACACAAATAAGGTACCAAACAAGTTACAAGCCAACTTTGGTAGATTTCTTTAAAAATGTATACATTTAAATTCATTTACAGTTTGTAAGGTTACATTTTTTTTAAAAAGTTGCAATGATGAAATACAGAATATTTCATTCTTGTACCAAAACTACACATTAGATCATAATAACGGCATGGTAGCTCTTATTTAAGACATTGATGGGTTAAGAACCACAGCTCTTTAGAGAAGAAAGAGTTCTATGGAGATGGGATGTGCTGATTTATTAGATAAACTGGTAGCCTGCAGCCATGAATGCATTTAACTTTAGGCATGAGAGCAGTAACCCCACTTCTTTACTGAGACTAATCATTTGCTTAACATTAACCACAGCCACATTTAGCAGGATCACAACCCAAGTGCCTCAGGTCTCCGGTCTCCTTATGTATTGGTACCACCACTTTTCAATGCTTATAAACAAAGCAAAACCAGTATTTACGAAACCCTATTGCAGAACTACAGATCCAGTCAAGTCACAAGCCTCAGTGATATGAGCAGATATTCAGAGCTGATGTACAAGCCTATAGGTTAGGGGAGCAACACATTAATATGCGTCTGTGACATGGCAATCAAATTTAGCCGTATGGTGTAAGGGAGACTCTTGTGTTCTGAACACTATGTTATCTTTGGGGGTGGAGGCAGAAGCAGTTTTCCCATGATGTGGGCTTCACGGTGGTTAGTAGGAGTCCTGTGTTGGTATAAGTTACAGGTGAGAGATGTCTTGTTTTCCTGTTCTTAGGATTTGTATGCAGAAGTGTCTCTTGCTCCCTAATCTAGTTCAACTTCACTTTGTCTACTGTACATATAAAAGCAAGAAGTGTATGCTGAACACATGCTGCACTGGAATTTACAACATGTCAAAGTTAAGAAATCCAAAGTTAAAGCTGTCCAGAGCAAAATTAAGATACCTTCCCTCCCCTATGTACAGTATGATAAAGTTCTGGTGGCATGATTTTAGGAAGTCCTGGACTACTCTGTGTGAAGTGTCAGCTAAGTCATTGGGCTAAGATCTTTGAGCATTTTAAAATCTTTCTGTACTTTTTCATGTAAAGGAAAGTGAGTTCTGGTGAGTTTAACTGTGATTGCACAGCCCCACATTATAATTTTGCATGTGGTCGACTAAGTGTATAAAATCTGACATTGAGAACCAGACAGGTTCAGTAAATAAGCCACCCAAACCTCTCAGTCTTTTAAAATGGGATTACAAAAAGAGCCCATTAGGTCCAACCATGTATATTCTGAATACCTTCCGTTTCCAACCGTGCATGCACAGCATGTCCCAGGACACACAAATGTTGCGTGTTGTACACGGGGTGTCAAGAGACCTCCTGAGTCAGTGAATCTGTTCCTCTGCTGCCGCAGGACACCTGACATGATTTCATGTTCAAGTAAATAGAACAGAAGCGGATTGAGGAGGAGAGAAGGGTCGCCTGAGTGAAGGAATAAAGGACTGAGCAGTTTTATGTTCAGCTGTAACCATTTTGCATTGCGTGAATGCTGTAATGATGCCACCCTTCCCTGCCTTTCCCCCACCAAGAATTAATCCAACAGTCAGTTAAAATCGTGAAGCCCAGCTTCAGCATGATTCTTCTTTCCCCAAATGTCTTCAGTCAGAACCCGGCAGAGAGGACTTGTTTAAAGGAGGAATGAAGACCAAAGCTAGTGGAAAGTTTTAGAAAGAATCTATATTTTGGTTACTCAAGCTCAAAAAATAAAATCAAACCATTCTTAAATAGTGGACAAGTTAGGGAGGATAAATAAATAAGAGCCGTTTCAACCCCAAACAGTCTGCTTTGAAGAGGATCTGAGATGAGGGACAGTTGCCTGGACCGGAAAATGAGCGCACTGGCCGCCGGCCCCGGTGCAAGGGGCAGTTCCCGCGGTGACCGGGAGCCCAAACGCGCCCCTGCGCTCCGGGTGTGGGGCCGAGGGCAGAGCGGGGACGCGGCCCTGCCGGGGGAAGCGATGGACGAAGCAGGCATGTGGCAGCTCGAGGCAAACCGGGCTCGTACTTTCCTCCGGGCGTCTCCTCGGGCGGCTGTGCGCCGGCAGCGATGCCTCCCTCCGGCCGGCCGGTCGCAGCCCCAGGGGTCAACGCGGAGGCGGGGGCGTGCGGCGCGGGAGCCGGAGCCTGCGCCCGGGGGCCGACGGCAGCAAGGAGGAGCGCGGCGGCGA